GCGATACGATATAAACAGAAAATGCAACCCCTCTAAAAAGATATCTGATGATGTGCCATGTTAGATGAAGTCCATTGGAAAAAGATATCTGTGAATTGTAAGGAAGGTAATTTCAACTTTCAATCAAGATAGGCGTCATCAGTTGTGACATCCTTTTCGCCTACCAGGTCAATTACTAAATAATTTCTTCGACAAGGTCGACGCATTCTATGTGGCAAATTTCTGACGCCACACCAACGCTGGCCAAAATAATCTTCATTTCCAAATTTGGCAGATGTGAGTACGTACTTAATGGCATGCGTGGTAAATCTAACCAGTCTTTCTCAAAGCTCTCGGTTCAAAGTTGCGCAATGTCATGTAATGTGATAAAAGATGTATAATATTTCTGTAGGATTTTCATGCCCAATTGTTTTCTTTGATGTGTCTTCGCGTTCCAGATTTCAACTCTTCCTATCAGAGTTATCCGTCCGAGTTTTCGAGTCAAAGTTATTATTATGAAAGTAGTGGGTTCACGGGCTCAAGTTATGAAAATTTAAGCTCCGGTGAGGTAAGTGACGAAACGTGATGACAGTACATCTTGATTACGAAAAGAGATCTTCCCTGGAATTTGATTTTCGTAGGGTAATTTTGGTGCGGTTCGAGCTGTAACAATCAAGCATCTCCTAAGCTGTGAACCAGGGGGTGGAGGTGAACGGATGCTTGATGGAAAACCTCTTGAAATTGTAAAGCATTTATAAATAAGTAAAAAATGTTTTGAGTGAATTTATTCCGTAATCGATCTGCTATGAATTTTAACCCAAATCCAAATCGTGACTCGAGGCAACATTTGTCGCCAGGGTCCAGGATATTTCGTCTAACATCACGGTCGAGGATGGCAGTAGTCTCATTCAAGTGAAGCCTCTTCGTACCAGCGACATGATCACCGGCGAAATTCAGTAAATTATCATCAATCTTTATAACACGAGATGCTTTGACATTCTAATTGTCTATTGTAATCCGCGCATGATTACTAGAGTCAATAAATATATACGG